GATTATGAACTAACAATACACAAAAAGCAATTTTCTCTGGTTCTTGTTCATATAACTAGAGCAGAAGCAGTAAACAAATTAACTCAGTCTGAAGTAACACAAATTCACCACATTTCCTTATAAGCATTTGGAGTAAGAAATAAGATTTAGTTATATTGAGAAATTAGATTTATTCTGGGTAGTGAATGGGAAATTTAGGAAAGAATAACTGTCATAGGGGCTGGGGAGATAGCTCAGTATAATAAGCACTCGCCTGACAACTGCAAGGGCCTGAGTTCAATCTCCAGTTCCGCAAAAAAAAAAAAAAAAAAAAAAAAAGAATAATTGTCTTGACTTTATATCCCAATATAGGTCTTTCCTCAGACCTTTTTAGACTGAGCTTGTGAATCTTCAAAGTTCTATCTCAAGTTTTCTTGATACTTAACATAAAACATATTAAGAATCCTTTGATGAATGAGGGGGGGAATGAATGGAAGCATGCCATTCTCTGTCCCCAGATAATCTTCAATTCATCTCTGTTGAACTCAATTCATCCTGAATGTTATCTTTCCTCTGAACCTTCCTGAGGAAGATATCTGCTACATTTTGCACGTAGAAGTCTTCCAAAGCCTCATGTGCTATGGGTGGTGATTTAGGGAGCTGCCTGGATCATGGGTATGTGATGCCCCTCATTGGATCAGTCCACTGAAGGCTGGGTATGACATGGAGAGGAGTCTGGTGGGAAGAGGTGGGTCTGTGTGGGTGTGGCCCAGGAAAGGGCACACCAGGGCACACGTCTCCTCCTCCACTGGTTCCTGGCTGCCTTTCCCTGCCAAGCCATGAACTGTTTCTCTTCTGTCATGCCACCTGGCCTTGGACTATGCCAACTATGGACCGAAACCTCTACAGACTTTGAGCCAAAATAAACCTTTAACTTGGTTTAACTTGTGAGTATCAATTACTGTGTGTCTCAGAGACAACAAAATAACTTAGACAACACCTGTCCACCTTCCGCTCTCCGCACACTCTCTGTGTGTCACATAGCCTGACTCCACACAGTGTCGTCCCTGGCCCACCAGTCTCAACACTTCCCAGTGACTCCTTCGAAATGCAGCATGCTGAATACACGCTTTTTTTTATTTTTATTTTTTTGAATACATACTTTTAACTAGGTCTCAGGTGACTGCTTTACATACTGGAATATGAGAAGCAATAGTTCTTTGTATTAGTGTCTTATTTTTTGGAAAAGGGTTCAAGCCTCGAGAGGCACAGGTTTTATCTTTGGATGTGTTACAGTCCACTGCCACTTGCCTATCACCAATAATTTACTGAATGCCAAGTTTTGAATAAATGAATATAGATTGGCTTGTAAGTCTGAGCTTGGACACTGGAGATTGTGTGCTTCCTCCAGAAATAGACTGGCCTGCATTAAATACTGATAATACTACTTTGTGGGACCAGGAATATACTCAGTGGTGCTGGCAAGTGTGAGATCCTGAGTTCTATTTCTAGTGCCAAAAATAATAATGATGATAATAATAATTTGTGACACTGGGCCAGTGAGATAGTTCAGCAGAATAAGCGCTGAATTTAGACAAGCTCAGGGACCTGGGTTCCATTTCCAGGATCACATGCTGTGCCGGCCCTGCCCCTGGGCACCCTAAACTGGCCACTGAGACCAGGCATGGCAGTGCACACCTGTAATCCCAGTGCTACATAGTGAGACCCTGCACCAAATACCTTAAAAAAATTGTGACACCTGTGAAATGATCATTGAGAAGTGAATTAAACAATAGCATGCATAATCTCACTTTATCTGTACAACAAGGCATTTCTCAGGAATCCCTCTGTGCATACATGCACTAAGGCTGAAGCAGGCCTTCTGTAATGTGACTAGTTGGCTTTCAGAGAGGCGAATTTCTTCTACATAATATGTAGAGAGGAAGGGATGACAGACCTAGTCTGCTAGAATTGAAGAATTGTTACCAGGGTCCCCTCTTTGACGAAAGGTGCATCTCATGTGCTGATAGGTGGCTGGCCTTTTAGCCACGTTCCAGGTGCTGGACTCCAAAGCTCCTGTCCTTCCCTTGAGCTAGATGAGAATTTCAGTGGAAGTGACACCAACATAAACTTGCCTGGACAGAGACCATGAGTGAACATTCTCAAGTGATACATTAGGACACTAGTACTCTACGTCTATAACTAGATCACACCTACAAGTATACAGTAAGAATTATGCTTGTGTGTGTGGGGGGGAAGGGTCTCAGGCCTATACATATTGAGTTCTGCTAGAACAGATGGATGAAAACACCTAAGGAATTAAAGCCAACACACTACTCTGAGGAAAGAGTTCACATGTACCCATCCCATCTATTGGGCCAGACACTCTTCTTCCTAAATATTTCTCAGATATTATTTACTTCAAATTCACAGAAAGCCAACCAAGAATGCTTCACTCAGTTTTCAAGATGAAGTAATTAAGGCACAGCAAGGTTAAGTACCAAGACCATGTGACTAGGGAGATGAATCCCAGCTTTGAAACTGTCAGTGTTCTATACTGCCTCTCGCTGGGATTAAGGGTGACACAGAGGATTCATATTCAAAATAGAGTTGATTTTAAAAAAAATCTGAATTTTTCATGTTGTTGCTGAGTGTGGTGGACTACATTGTAATCACAGCACTCAGGAAGCTGAGGCAAGAGGATTGCGGCAAGTCCAAGGCCATGATGTGAGTTTAAGGCCAGTGTGAACTGCATAGTGAAACCTTTTCTCAAAAATAGAGGAAAGAAAGAAAAAAAAGAAAGAAGAAAGAAAGAAAGAAAGAAAGAAAGAAAGAAAGAAAGAAAGAAAGAAAGAAAGAGAAAGCCAAATAAAACATGCTCTTGTGATTGTGAAATCCGTACCTTGTACACTTATAAGATGCTACTAATAACAGGACAAACACTAGGAGACATCA